TCCGTGGCGTGGGGGCCTGGCCTTGCTAGATCTTCAGAAAAGCTGGAAGCCTGGATTTTTATGTAAAATTTCCTAAGTTTTAAATATCAGCAACCAATTTAAAATTTTTCTAAAGCACTTGGAGGCCGAACAAAATCTATCTCCAGGCTGGGTCTGTCCCAGTGCCCCTGTCTGCACAGCTCTGTCGGTGACATCACCCCAGTCCCCTGTGCTCCGTGGGGGCCTCGGCTGGATCCCTGTCCTGTCCAGGGATTGACTTCGATAGGTTTCTTTACCAGGTGGAAATCTGTACCCCATAACGATACAAGGGCTGAGCTGGGCCATTTTGCTACTTTTGTGCAACTCACAGGTGAAACGGAGGCAGCTGTCCTAGTGAAAAGAACATGGTTACTGAATCAGAGAACTATCCCCAAGGCTTGGTCCCAAACCTTTCTAGCTGCATGACCCTGACGATATATGAGTTAGCCTCTCTGAGCTTCGGTTTCCTCAGCTGTATAACAAAGCAATGCCCCTTCGCGCCCAAGAGCGGCACCTGGCACATAATGAGCGCTCCACAGTGAGCAGTCTTCCTCCCTCCTCCTGGAGGACCAGCCAGAAGAGGCCAGGAAAGAGGAAGCCAGTCGGTAACTGGCCCTGGTTAGGAGTACGGTACCACTAAAAGCCTGGTGCCCGCAGCAGCTCCACACCTGTCACCTCACCTGCTTCCTCGTTCCACGCACTGCACGCTGGAACGCCAGATGTGCCACCTAAGGGCTGGCTCCCGCCCTGCGGCAGACATGGGCAGCAAGAGCAGCGGCTAGGGGCGACCCCACCAGGCTGGGAGCAGAGGAAAGGCTTGTGGCCTTGGGACTGGCAAGAGACAGAGTGGAGCCCTTACAGGACCTCAGGCATCTGTCCAAAGATGGCCCCTTCCGTGTGAGCTCTTCTCTTCCCAGGACAGGGAGGTCAGACCGCAAGGAGGAGGGGCAGGGAGGGCCGGCTGGGGAAAAGCAGCTGGAGAATGTAGCCCAGAAAGACTTCCCAAAAAGCCAATCTAGCGAGGGCAGGCCTGGACCACAGGAGCCTTGTGCTTTGTTGTTCCTCCTCCGGACCGTACCAGAAGCCCCTTGAGCCTTGCACTGGCCTGAGCGCTGACTGGGGCTGGCACAGGCCCTAAGAAGGGGATAAAGGAAGGAGTGACCGAGCACACGACCAAGTCCAGCCTTTCCTTCAGGCCCGCGCCATCCTCCCTCTTTCCTGGAGGATAAACGTGCCGGTACATCCAGATGTGCCCAAAAAGTTGTGCAAGCCTAGCGCTCTCCTGGGCTGGCACGTAGGCGTTTCAACACCTGCTGAATGTGGGTTATGCAGCGGGCAGAGCAGAACCAGCGAGGAGCAGGGAGGGAGAATGTGATCCAGCCCCAAGCAGGGGAGGTTCTTGGGGCAAAGGAGGACTTTGAAAGGGCTGAACCAGGAGCATTTGAAAACTACATTAAGCAAGATCCCTGGGCATGACCTCCAGTCACCCCCCGGGTTCTCGCCTTGTCTTCTGCACCGAGGCAGGGGTGGGGTCTGCACTGCTCCATTCCTCTGCACGGTGCAGCCCTGGCCTGGCAGGGGCGGGCCCCGGTCTTGGCACCCGGCAGAGGGCCTGAATACCGCGGGCGCCCAGACAGTATATACCAAATTGATGCAAATGACCTCACCACGTAAGGCTGGCAGGGACTTTCTAACACAGCAGAGCAGAAGCTGCTACCTTTTACTGGGGACGCAGCACGTGCCAGGCACTGTGCCAAACACTTTACATACATTATTTCTCGTAATCCTCTCAGAACCCTGTGAGATGGGTCCTGCTAGCGTGCACATTTTCCTAACGTGAAAACACACTTGGAGACGGGTGGGAGATTGCACCGGATTGTGCAATTAGTGAGGGTGGCAAGCTAGTGCTCAAAGTCCTTAGCACCACAATTAGATCTCTTTCCACGCAGCTCTGAACAGCCACGCAGGTGCCAGCCCACAGGACAGAGCCGCAGACACTTAAGGCTCGTGGCGGGCAGAGGCCACGTCAGTGAGAGGCCAGTAACCAGCCAGGACACTCACCCCGGGGCGAGCATCGTGGGCTTCTCAGGGCAGCTTTGACCCTGCGTGCCTGCGCCCGGGTCAGAGGACAAGCAGCTGATCCGTAGCAAATGCCCAGTTCTCCCTGCTCAATGGGGTTTTGTTGACTGCAGTCTGCAGGCCCACAGATTTACGTCCAATCTGCTTCAGAAACACTGTGTCCAGAGCTTTCCAGCCAGGCACTTCTGGGACGGGGGAAATTAAAACTCCCTTTAATTGTCCAAATAAGGGGACCCAATAAGACTCTGATGAGCCACGGGAGCAGGTTTGTTCTGTTCCTTCCCACGTGGCCAGGCTGGGAGGCACTGGGCCCTGCGGCCCCCACATGGGCCGTGGTTCCCTGTGAGGGCTCCGCATGAAGGACCCCAGCTGCAGGGCAAACTGCATGCTCCACTTCAAGGGGTGTTGTTTTAAACCTTGGACACAGCCCATTGTCCCTAGGCATCCAGGTCTCTGGATGATAGCATGGGGGCCGTGGCCTCCAGTACCATACCTGCCTCTGGGAGGCCTGTGAGGGAGGGACACTATGGCCCCGGGCCCAGCGTCCATGGTCACTGTGGGCCTACCCACCACTATGGGCACGTTGTCAGAACATCTAATGAGCCCCCAGGGACGAGGCAGGAAACTGCCTCAGGCCACACTCAGAGGGCGAGCCTGTTCGGTCACCTGGGCATTCCGCTCTGGGACTCCGAGCCAGCCCAGGGGCCCACAGGCAGATGGAGGCAGGAGGTGAGGCACTGCCGGGGCTGGAAGCCCAGAGAGTGGAGCACTCAGGGGCCTGGTGGTGACGCAGCCCAGTGTGGACATGTGCTCTTAAATTCAGGTGGTCAGGGTGCTGCCGACCTATTCTAGGGTTCCCCTCTGGATGGACCCAGCCCCAAGAACATGGCAGAAGGCATCTTTTCCGCCGGGACCCCCCGAGTGGAGAGCGGAGTGTGGACTGCACTTCAAGTTCTCTCAACCCCTCAGCCGGGCAAGTCTGCACAGCGTGCAAAACGCCTGCCCAACTGCGGCAGCCCTGACGGGTGAACCCAGGTGAACCGAGCAGGGGGTGCTGCTGTGTGGCAGAAGCCTGGGGGTGGTCACGAACCTGTAGCAGTGGGCCAGGTCCTAAAGCTGTGTAGGCGACAATAACCAAGTGTCCGGCTGCTCTCAGGAAGCAGGTCCCCTCGGTTTCCCCCCAGAGCTCCCCAATTCTGTTGTCTAGTTACCCTGTGAGTGGCCTCAACCCGTCCCAGAGTTGGCCACAAGACCTACTGTCTCTGACACAGCTCATGAGCTGGCCCAGCTTTCCCAGGGCCACAGTGGGGGCCGTCAGATCATCTGTCCTCACCTCACTGCCTTCTCCCAGAGCTGAGAGAGTTAAGGGCAAAGGGAGTTGTGGCCACAACAGAAGTGGCAGCAAGGCAGCAGCCCGGGTCTGGATACACCTGTCCACCTTACTTCCCGAGCTGGCGTACCCAGGGGGCTGCAGCGAAACTAACACCCCGGCGCCATCTCCACGCCAGGGCGAATGGACGCTAATCTGTGCAGGATGTTCGGGAGTAAATTCTGAGCTAAATGCATAATAAGAATGACAGCTAACACTAGACGGGCAGTTTCTGTACCAAGCCCTGTCCTTAGGTCTTTTCAAACATCAGCTGATTTAATCCTCACAAACTTGAGGTAGGTGCTATTATTATCCCTAGTTTACAGATGAGGAAATCAAGGCCCAGAGAGGTTAAGTGGCTTTTTGAAGGTCACGTGGTTACTAAGTGGCTGAGACAGGATTTGAACCCAGGTCATCTGCAATGTTTCAGATAGGAGTTCAGATAGGGTAACTAGAGGCTACCAGGGCCGTGCCTTAAGTGCTGATTCTACTGTTTCCTCTTGTAAATAGGATGCTTTTAGGGGTGGGGACGCTGTACGGAGAAAGAAGTGTGGTATAGTTTCAGTTTGGAACCTCTAATTTATAGTTTATTCCAATGCATACAACATGACAACGAACAAGTTAAAGGGCTTGGAGATACAGCATCTGCTGGGCACCTGTATACTTTATGCCACGGAAATACACCTAGTTTCATTAAATCCCCAAGACAGCCTTGCAAGATACCTACGACTGCCAGGAGCAGAAAGTGTGACTTGCCTAGTATTAGAAATGGGCTTGGGATCCAGGACCCTCTGAATCCAAAGCCTGAGGGCCCCAGGGAATTGGAGAAGCAACTAGATGAAAGGAAGTAAGAAAAGGGAAGAGAGAAGGGCTGGTAAGGGAGGTGGTCACAGACTCAGATGTGAGCACCAGGAAAGGAACTCGCCCAACAAGGACGGTACTCCCAGGTCGCTCTAAGGAGGGGTCACTCCCAGGGCTTGGGAACCTCAGGCCCAGAGCTGCCTCCATCCCCGGTCTGGTCTCTCCTAGGGACTGGGGGGGTGGGGTCCCTCCATGTCGGGGCTGGGAGGACCCAGCGAGCGCCCCACCAGAGCTCCCCGCGCTGCTGCGACTTGCAGGGAATGCCAGAAGCCCAGTGTTTATAGGGCGGCAAGCACGGGCCTCCCTCTACCCCGCGCTGCCCTGGGGGGCGGCACCGCTGCTGGCTCTGGTCAGCATCAAAGACACAAGGAGAAGGGCAGGCGGACCAGCGGGGGGCCAGCACCGCCCCCCACCTCTCCACCCAAAGTGCACCCTCCTAAGGGGACGACAGGGGCGACGGCGCGCGACCCCCTCCTCACCCAGAAAGAAAGCGGAAGAAAGGGGCCCGCAGCCCCACAGCTCCCGTCTTACCCTCCCTCCCCGCAGCGCTCCGGAAAGAGGAGGGGTCGCCCCACAGGCCCCCTCCCCCGTCCTTTGTCACGGCCAGCTCGGCACGAAGCCCCTCTCCCGCGGCCCGCCCCACCCGGCCGCGCCCGGGGTCCCCGGCACTCACCCAGCGGCAGGCTGACCCGGGGGCCGAGCGCCCACGTCGCCCGCGGCGGCAGCAGCAGCGGCAGCAGCAGCGGCAGCAGCGGGAGCAGCGGCGGCCGGCGCGGCGGCACACCCCGCCAGCTCCCCCGGCCCATCGCGGCGCGCGACCCGGTCGGCGGCGTCCTGCGGCTCCGGCTCAGGTGGCTCGACTAGACTCGCGGGCGGCAGCCCCGCCCCGCAGTCCGCCCCGGCTCGCTCCGGGGGCCTCCGCCTCCCGACCTAGGGGTGGAGGTGGGAGGCCGGGTCAGGCGGGCTGCTGCGGCGCGGGCCCCTCCGCCCCCGGCGCCCGGGTCGTCGCGCCAGCGCCTGTCCCGCGGCCGGGACGGGACGGAGTCGCCGCGAGCGCCCCAGGGCGGGGCCGAAGGAGGAAGTGGGGCGGCTAGGCCTGCCCCTCCCCGCGCCGCCCCTGCCCGCCCCCCCCCTGCCCCTGCCCCCTTCCCGGTCCCCGGCTCCGGAACCACGAGGGGCGCCGGCGCGCGGCGCTCGGCTGGGGGCGCGCCCGGAGGGGCCAAGCCGGGGCTCCGGGGTTGCCGAGGCCGCCCGAGCGCGGGGCGCGGGCGAGAGCTGGCCCCAGTGCCCCGCCCCCGCCCCGCAGACCCTCCCACCGCCGCGCGGGCCCCTTCCGGCTCCTCGGAGACCCTCCGTCCGCCGCGCTGGGAGCAAACCTGCGTCTCTCCGCTCCGTGCCTCGGGAGGGTCAGGCCTTGGGCTCCTCCCTTTATGCCCACCCCATACTCCTAGCACCCACTTGTCTGCGACCTAAGGAGCTCGGCCGAGCTCGTGCTGCGGCCACAGGGAGACCCATTGCTTGGGAGGGTAATTTCTGCACGGGTCCGTCCACCGCAGCGCATTCACTGCAGGCTCAGCACTTAGTCCAGGTCCCCTGCGGGGGCGTCCGTGCTTACAATTCTGTCCACGCGAAGCCCTCGGGTGGAGGAGGGCAAGATTAGCTTATGTGGGATAATAGTATTTAATGTACAGCCAAGGACGTGAGACCTACACAACCTGCACGTGGCCCAGCAGAGAAAAGAACCCTCTAAGGCTGGAGTGGGATCCTGGAGGCACCCAACCCAGTCTTCCTGCTTCCGCTCTGCTGAGACCAGGGGTTTCCAAGTACAGACTGGACGCCTCAGTGGGTTCTGAACTCAGTTTAGAGGATCCCTAACAACATTAAAATATAAACAAAAAAACCCCAAAATTATCAAAATACAATGATATAATAAATGGTAAGTTTTGGGAAACCTGTTTCAGCTTTTTCCTAAGTGTGCACAAGATTACAATAAAATACAGTAATTTCTCCTATAGTTACAGCCAAAGGGAGTTTGTGAACTTCTGCTAGTCATTTCTATAGCAGTGGGGACTGTATCTCCGGGAATTGGCTGCAACTGCAGGAAAGCTCCTCTTCACCCCCAGCCACAATCAGCTGCCTCAGAGCCACTTCCTTTTGCTCTTCTTCCCACCCCTAGAATCAGCCACATCTTCTCCAGGGGGGGGGCGGGGGGGGGACGACGACGACACAGCGTCCACATGGTCCCAGGTCTCCTCTCTTGCAGCCAGGCTTCCTCATGCTCCATGATTTATTCCTGTACCTCCACCATGCTGGCACCCCCTCTGTCGATATGGTGCAGGCCAGCACACCCCTTTTAAAGGGGCTCACAGCCGTGGACACACAACTCCACATGGCATGTGGGCAGCACCAGGCACCCATAGTTCCACCACTGCCCAGGCTAGGACGCTATATTAGTGGGGTCCATTCATAGAGTCAATCCATCTATAGCCAGTGATGCCCAGGTTTCTATCTGCAGCCCAGACCCATGCCCTGAACTCCAAATGGCCTCAGTGTTTCTACTTGACTGATAGAAATTTCAAACCCAGTATGTCCCATACTAAGTTCCTGATCTCTCCCCCTTCTCCCCCAAAAATGTGCTGCAACTAATGCCTTCTCTACCTCATTTAATTGCAATTTCATCTTTGAGTTGCTCAGGCCAAAAACCTTTACTCCAGTCTTTTCTCTCACTCCACACACCTAATCCACTAACAAGTCCATAATCTGACCACTTAACCACCTCTCCAGGCCCCAGGCCACACTCCCCCCGATTATAGCAAGGGCCTCCTAACTGTTCTCCCTGCTTCCTTTCCTCCCTTGTTCCCCTACAATCTATTCTCAACACAGCAGCCAGAGTGAGTCTAAAACAAAAGCCAGCTCAGGGATCTCTGGTCAAAACCCTCAAATGAATGGTTCACCGTCTCACTCAGAATAAAACCCAAAGATCTGACTTGCAATGATCTGCAAGGCCCTAAATCACCCTCTCCACCCTTGCCGTGGCATCCTCCACTACTCTCCCCTTGCTCGTCTAGCCCAGGTAGCGGTGCCGTGGCCTGAACACAGCAGGCACTCTGTTTCAGAGCCTTGAGCAGTCTTCCACCGGACAGTCACACGACTGAGTTCCTCGCTTCCTTCAAATTTTTGCTCACATATCACCTTGAAGAATCTCAACTCCCTTCCAATACTCCCCTTTCCCGATATTTTTTTCAAAGCACTCATCATTTACTAACACACTACATGACTGGGTTATTTATTGTGGTTTTCTTTATTGTCTGACCCCCTCTCCCCGGAATGTGACTCTGGAGGACAGGGGTCTTATCCTAGTCCTGGCACATGGGAAGCGGCCCTCAGTAAGTACTGGCTGAATGAATGAATGAATGAATGCAACCTGAGTCACAGAATACTGCTGACTCATGTCAGCTAACAGCCAGAGCTATTTTTTGATATCAGCTTTGGTCCAGTAAGAGTTCCCGCAAACCTGAAATTATGCAATTAACTTTTTCACCCTAAGCACAGGACTCGATAATTACTGCTCTTAAATCTATTGGTTCTGGCTCAGACTTCATCCCATGGAGGTTATGCTGGATATTGATTCTGTTCTCATTCATTTGGCGTCCCTTCCCAGTTTTGAGTCATCTATAAATTTGGTAGCATTCCTCGTGCCCTTATCAAGTCACTGATAAAAATACTGGGTGAGCAGACCTAACACTCAGATCTTGGTTTCTAAATACCACTCTATAATAAAAGGAACCAAGACTCCTTGGGGGAATGAAAGGGAAAGTACAAGGTAAACACGGGACATTCTCTTGGGCCAGAAAGCAAAGGAGTGATCAAAGAATAATGGGGTCATGTCAAAAGGACATAGGAGTAGTCTGATGATCAGCTGGAGCATCAAAAGGCATGGTGAAGTAATGGGTCTAATGCATGACATTAAATAACAACCCTTTAGTCCCCAGTGAAACTCAGAGAGAGAAAAGAGAAGGAGTGAGAAAAAAGCTTTTCTTTACAGAAACATGCTGGCTGATAAATGTAGAATAAATAAAAGAATTAGAAAATCTAGATTCAAGGATCATCAATGGATGTGAAACCACCAAGTGGAAGACTGTTAGGAAACTCTATGTTAACAAGGTCTCAAAGTCTGTCCCATAGATGATTCACTAATCCCTCACAAAGGGAAAATGTATCTCTAAAGGAGAGATCTGGTGGCCATCATCTTAACCAAGGGGCCAAAAGTAGCATCACCAGTAATGCTGCTGCTGCCTGGCATAATTCACCTCCCGATACGATGCAGTAAGAAGTACACACCCTCATCAGTCCTCGCAGCATTCCTGCCCACAGCGTTCAACCCAGATCCGATAATGAGCACACCATCAGGCACATCTAGCATAAGCATTCCATAAGACAACTAGCCTGGACTCTTCCAAAAGGTCAGTCTGATGAAAAGCAAAAAAAAATTATTTTAGGTTAAGAGACTAAAAAGACATAATAATCAAATGTACTATGTGAACCTTGATTGAATCTTGGAGCAGAAAACCATGGAGCTATTGGGAAAATTTTAATATTACCTGTATATTAGCTGATATTACAGCATTGTTCATTTTTTCTTTCTTTCTTAGAGACAGGGTCTGGCTCTGTCACCCAGCCTGGAGGGCAGTGGCACAATCAGAGCTCTCTGCAGCCTCAAACTCCTGTGCTCAAGTGATTCTCCTGCCTACACCTTCCCAGTAGCTGGTACTATAGGTGCGCAGCCCCATGCCTAGCTCTGTTCATTTTCTTAGATGTAAAAATGGTATTTCTTGAGGATGATAAAGTCCTGGTCCTTTGGAGATACTTGCTAAAGCTTTTAGACACATCATGAAGTGTCACGATGGCTGCGACTTACTTTCAAATGATTAAGCATAACAAATGTGGGAATGTGTGTTAGAAGAACATGAACATAACTGCTGCACATTTTTAACAACTGGTCAATACAGATGAAGAGCTGTGGGTATTTTTGTACTCATCTTTCGGTTTAAAATTCGGTGATAAAAAACAATTGGGTGAAGCCAGGCATGGTGGCTCATGCCTGTAATCCCAGCACTTTGGGAAGCTGAGGCAGGAGGATCACCTGAGCCCAGGAGTTTGAGGTTACAGTGAGCTGTTATTGTTCCACTGCACCACACTCCAGCCTGAGTGCAGAGGAGACCCTATCTCTAAAAATAATAATAATAACTGGATGAGACAGAGCCAAAAACAGAGCCCAGTGGCATGCCACTAGAGACCTTCATCCAGGTTAGGAGACTGAACTACTAGTTATGTGTTCTAACAGTACTGTTTCAGCCCACATTTCTCTATATTATCCATAAGAATATTATGGAAAAAATTGCAAGGAATCTTGTTGAAATCTAGCTATAGCATTTCCTTCTTCTATCTTCTGCTTACTGTTCTTTCTTAGAACAGTGCCTGATGTGTGGCCACTAGCTCAAGTAGGTATTTGTTGAGTGCCTGAGTCTCTGCATCAGGTAGCTCCCAATACAGCAGACAGGCTGCTTTGTCCTAGTATCTTGGCAACACAGGAGTTGTCTGACTGCTGTGCTCGTCCCAGGGGAGAGGAGACAGGGGCTGACACAGCCACACTTGGTGGATAATTACATCCTGCTCATGGCTGCTCAAACGTTTCCAGTACGCCGTGTGCCATCTGGACAGCAAGCTTCTTGTGGCCAGTGACACACCGTCCATCTTCCAAACCCGCACTGCCTAGCCTGGCACTCCAGCAGGCACTACGTAGGGCTGACAAAATGAGGTGCCAAGTGCTAGCCTGGAGAAGCACCCTCCAATCCACACCCCCAGCAATGCTAACGCGTTCTCCCCGGACTAGAAAACACAAGAGGATGACTAGCAGGGAAAAATCTCAA